TCAAAACCTCTACATTGACCAATAGGTCAGATATATTACCTATTATAGATAGATAGATTATGTTAGGTATTACATTAGGTTATATATTATTATAATTGGAGGAAATCAGAAACAAAAGGAAAATTATTCTTGTTACCTGCCATCTTGACAAAGATTAATTGGACTGGGGCCTGCTGAATGCCACAGATCTGTATCTAGATATCCATGTGAACATGAAATGAGAATCATCCACGAGTTTTCATTCTCTCTTTTCTCACACTTCCTATACTTTGAAAGAACCTGCAGGGTGATCCAGTGGGTGTTGTCCCAAAATAGATGATACTTCAATTAGAAATACAGGGCTAGAAAGAGATTCCTGGGTTTCTGGCCCCAGTCTCCTGGCAACAAACTATTTGTTTTAGTGAATAGCTCAAATTTTTCCTGTCCCTTTGCAAGCAAGTGCCTGTCCCCCTCTTTCAAAGAAGGTAAGTTTGGCTTCTGAAAGTGCCAAAAACTGAGAACGGAACAGGGTGCTTTGCTGAACCTCAGACGTTCATTAGAAGAAACTGCTTGTGTTCACCTGAGTCGCAGTGTGGCAGAACAGGTAGGTGAGAAGGAAGCAGCCCCTCCTCGTCACTGAGGAGAGGGGGGATGTCCTGCTCCACCGAGGAGCTCGGCTGGAGCAAAGCCCAGGGAGCTGCTAGGGTTCCCAGAAGAGTGTGGCTCCATCTGTTCCCAGAGGTTCCTGACACTTCTCTGCCATGGCTTCCCCCCCAGTAACCAGAGCCGTTTTGCTAGGGAGCTTCCTAGCATTCCCAGAGCACCTTCCTGGCACTTGTGCTCTGCTGCATCAAGCCACCCATCCCATGCCCTCTCAAGCCAAGGTGGCCTTGCCTTCTTGCTGAGCTACCTGTGCAACAGGACGTGCCTTTGGCAGACTCCTGTCCTGCTGACTTTCCTAACCATTTACGAGCTGTTTGCTCCTGGAAGGCCTCCAGCACTGCTTCTCTGGCATCAGCTCAACTTTTGCTTTCAGCTGTAACTGCTCTAAACTTCAGCACGTAGCTCCATTACCTGAGTGGGACCCAGGGAAAGTATTTGGTCATGAATTTTGGCTTTGAAGCACTGCATCCAGCAGAGCTGTGCCAACAGAATTGTAAACTCAGTGATTTCCTCTCCCACTCCAGCCACTGGTAGAGAGGCAAAGAGAAACCTATGGCCTCACACAGCCCTCTGGAGCCAGGATTTAGGTCACCCATAGCAAAATCCCCCTCGGTTTCTGAAGGATGGGCTCTGCCCTTTGTTATATGGCTTGGATGTGTGCTTCTAGCCGCTGCTTCACCCACAGATGGAAACAGCTGGCCTCATCAAAGCCACTCTTGTGGGCAAAAACGAGGGAGAGGGTGTCTCTGAAGTTGTTGATTACTGCTGATACAAGATTTTATTATTATTTTTTAAAAAGCTGACTGTCTTCATACTGAAGATTCAGAGTGCTCAGCTATCAGGATGAGGACACATAACTTGCCTCTAAAAGATACTTAAGACCAGATAAAGCAGATATTTGCTTCAGATGCCATCCAAGTCCTCTGTCTAAAGACCTTACTGTTCTTCCCATGGTGGGCTACGACACATATGGTAATTCCTTGCCCCAAATTCAAAGAGTTTTCTTGAGAAAGTTTTATATTTGGTTAAGAACTAACCCAAGAGAAGGGATCCTAAGTGCTTTGTTATTGTACAGGAATAGGAGCAGGAAAATCCGTCAAGAGAGGGAGAGCAGGGGACAGCACCCCTGCAATTTTGGGGCCAAACATTCTGATTCCTGGATTTTACCCAGCCTGGGCAGTGGATTTCCGAGAACACCTACTCCAGCCCCTACCAAGCAGGCAAGGGGCAGGGGCTCCGACCCATCGTGCCCCACCGGTCCAGCTCAGCTCACTGCTGCAGGACAGTGGGGAGCTCTGTGAGGGGTGAAAACACCCGTGGGCTGAGTGGTGGGTCACCACAACCAGCTCACCTCTCCCAAATGGTTCTTCTGGTTCAATGTTGTGGTCCAGGCACTGGGCTGATCCAGGTGCCTGTAAATATCCCCCCAGGATACCCGGTTTGTGTCTTTTTTATGCTCCTTTATGGTACACAAGGAATATAAAGGAAGCCGGAAGGTTGGTGGTTTATTTGATTGGGGATGGGAGGGGGGAAATGTTTGAAACTGGGTGTGGATATAATTTGTTTGGTCAGTTCCTTTTTACACTGAGAAATGTGAGTTCTGCATTGCCATCGTCAAGAATCTGAGGAGATCTCAGAGAATGAATGTTCACTAGCAAAGAGAGGAAGAGATCTGGAATGTGGATGTTTAAAATGTGTCAAGCTTGTTCATATGACTCCGATGAACTTTTTGGAGGCATAAAACTTTTGTGGACATGAAGCAGTTCACCTCAATGGGGGGAACTCTCTTTCTCAAAAGTCCCACAGGCAAGGAAGAGAATTTTTGATCCTTTCAGCATTAAAACCAATGAGAAATACACTGCTGAAGGGCTACAAGGAACTACCCCAAATGTTGCTGTGCCCCAGCTGGGGCTGGAGGCGGCTGCGTGCCATCGCAGCAAGGAGCCCTGGGCTCTGCCACCCCGGGCCCATGCGCACAGAGAAATGCCAGCAAACCCACACCAAGCAGCACCTCTAACACCCCCAGATCTTCTGTGATTAATTTACTTATTGATGGCCTTTCATAACTCCCTGGTCATCTTTTTTCGCACTGCCATTAATTATTCCTGGAAGCAAATAAAAGGGCCCACCGATATCTCTCCCTCCCTCTCGCCACAGCCAGCTTTTCCTTAGGGAGAAAAAACTTGTGCTCGTTTGCAGTGGGACAATGCCGACTTTTGAACCTCTAACCACTAAACAAACAAACCTTGCGCTCTGCTCCACAATCCAAACAGGGTTTATTGACAGGCGTATCGCAGCAACGCGTAGCAACTCGAGGCAGCAGCCGGGCTGGGGATCAATGCAGGGGGGGCGGCCCCAGGTGCCAGAGGGCATCCTCGAAGGGACGGCACCGCCTGGGGCTGCCAGCATGGTTGCTGCCCCCCCCCCAGGGCCCTCTTCCCCCCTCTTGGGAAGAGCACAGAGGAAGGGGTGGGCCACCCGGCCTGCAAAGCCCTTTGAACTTGGCCACCCCTGGGGCAACCGCTCTCCTCTGGTTTAAGGTTGGTGCTGCAGAGCCAAGTCCCTCAGTTTGGGTTGTGCTGAGCTTTAGGTGTCCCCAGGAAAGCAGCTCCTCCAAAAAGATCCAAGGACCCTTTAGAGGCAAATAAGGATGGATCTGACTCCTGCCTTCCTCTGGTTCAGAGCAAACCGTGGACATCGGACCCAGCAGGACATGGTGTGTGTCAACCCCGTGTGCAATGAGCATAACTGCCTGGGCGCTGCACCCATGTTTCCTGGCCAAACCCTCTTCAGAAACTACCCACGAGGCAGAAAATCAAGCAGGTTCCCTGCACTGGAGGTGCTGCCTCCCCACCATGGTCTTTGCCCAGGCTCAGGAGCCCTGGATCAGGTTTGCATGGCCACACGTCCTCTGTCAGCTTGCCAGCCACCACCCAGCCCCTGGCCCAGCAAGCTGTGGAGCTACATGTGGCCAAAACCCAGCGTGGGGGGCTTTGGGGCTGGTGCTCACCATTTCCCCAAGCTCCACCAGCAGAGAGATACCTTGTCTGTGTGGCCAGGCCCTTGCAAACCAACCCTCCCTGTGCAGCCCTGCAGATCCTGCTGGCATTTGGCTTTGGCTTTCAGCAAAAAGATGAGAAAAGGGTCAGCAGGGAAAAAGACAAAGTGCCCCAAAGAAAGCAAACGGGATATCTTAACTAAATTTGACGAGAAAAACAGACCAACATGGGGCCAAATGCTGGGGAGGTCAGAAACCCACATAACGTGTTTGGGGCTGGACAGTGCTCCCATCCCGGAGCTGGTCCCACTTCTCAGTGGGGTTTCTCCTGGCCCAAAGCAAGAAGTACACACGGCAAACAGCCAGGGTGATTTGGCTCAATCAGCTGAACTTCTCTGGTTTTAGTCGCTGGCTAGGTGAGTCGTTTGGCATCTCTCTCCAGGACCCCCCCACCTTGCCCACGTGTGGAAACGGGCTGCAGCCTGGGCGAGGTGGGATCTGGTACAGCACAGGGCTCTTCTGAGGATTTCTCCTCCTGGTGGGGCTGAGATGAAGCCTACGTAGAGCCAATAAAACCAAGGAGACTTCAGAAAACTAATTGGAAAAATAAACTCCAAACAAGACAAAAACTGTAATGAGGTGAGAAACAGCACATCATTTAACCGATGGGACTTTGCACACACAAACAAGGCTCCTCACTCCAGCGTGACAGGACCCCTTTTTCAGAGGAGACTTCATTCTTTCAATTTCTCTGCACTGCGGCTAATAAATCTGGCTGGATGACTATCAGCACCAGATTTATGGGCTCTTTTACAAGTGTCTAACATTAAGCAATTCACTTCTGAACGTTTAAACAGCGCCTTATCTTGTCTGCTCTGGCCCTTAGGGCAGGATGAACATTTTGCGCATTTATGGTTACAAGAGAAAACTAAAATAAAATATAAAATAAAAAAAAAATGTGCTTTAATTTTTTTTTTTCCTGTTAAAATTCATCGTTAGCCCAACAACATTTCTAAGGTCTTTTGGACCGATCCCTGAGATTCACCGGGGGTCGACTGGCAGGCAGTGCCCCCCGCCTTTTATCTAACAAACTCCAGGGTTAAAAAAACCACCCGAACATAATAATAATAATAATATTAATAAAGCGATGGCCACGCTTCCCCCGGACGACGAGACACATACACTGTACATCTGTACACACGGCCGGCCCCGCGGGGCGGTGTAGTGCATAGGCGGGGGGTGGGGGGGGTGGGGGGGCCCGCTTCCACCGTGGCCCCCCGGCCCGGCCCGGCCCGGCCCCGCCGTGGCCGTGGCCGTGGCCGTGGCCTCCAGCAGTCCGTGCGTGGTCCCCCGGCCGCTGTCACTGCGGGGCGGCGGGGCCCAGCCCGGCGGCGGCCGCTCCCGCCGCGGGACCCTGCAGCGAAGCACCGGGGCTGGGGGGCTCCGCGCCGCCGGGCTGCGCCTGCTGCAGCTTCTTCTTGTTGATCTTCCTCTCCTTGGCCCGCCTGTTCTGGAACCAGATCTTCACCTGCGGGGGGGGGGGGGAGAGGGGAGTGATGGGGGTGTGCGTGTGTGTGATTCCCCAGGGAAGTCCCCCCTCCGAGGTTGGGGGGGGGGGGGGGGGGGCGCAGTGGGTGAGCATCCCTGTTCCGTGTATCCCGGCCCCACGCATCCCTGTCCCGCGCATCCCGGCCCCACGTACCCCCGGCCCGGAGGCACCCCAGCCCTCCGCGCATCCCGGCCGCACGTGGCGGGCGTGGGGAGCGCCACTCGTGGGACAGACCTGCCTCTCCGACAGCCCCAGGTTGGAGGCCAGCTCCGCTTTCCTCCTGATGGTGATGTAGCGGCTGTAGTGAAACTCCTTCTCCAGCTCCAGCCGCTGGTGGTCGGTGTACACGACGCGGTACTTGTCTTTCGTCCTGGTTTTAACTGAGGAGAAGAAAGCCGGGGTTGGGAAAGCCGAAGGGCCTGGATGGAGCGCGGCTCTCCTCCCTGGGGGTGCAGGGTGAGCATGATCAGCAACAACCCCCCCCCCCCCCAGCTCCCTACTCGCTTCTGCCTGCCCGGGGCGTCACGGAGCACAGCGAGCAGAGGGGGAGAGGAGCAGTTTCACAGTCCCTCGGGGGGGGGGGGACTTGCCCCGTAAGGGCAAGCCAGGAGCCGGGCTCTCGGCCCCGGTTGCCAGCCCGGCCCCGCAGCACGCCCGGGCATTGCTCTTGGGACACCTTTATTGAGCGCTTGCTGTTGGCTTTCGGTTTTGTTTTGCCTTCCCTACCGAGAACAAGCTTTGTAAAAAGAGAAGGGAAAAGAAATAAAAGCCTCGTTCAGGGTACGGAGGTTTCGTTTCTAAATGAGAAAGACTGATCTAAGAGTGGAGAACCGGGAGCGGCCGTCGGGGGCTCCTCGGGCTCCGGCCCGGCTCCCCCCGCCTCTCCCCCGGCGTCGGGGCAGAGCCTAAAGCGACTTCTCGGTGACCCGGGGAGCGCGACGAGCAGCTTTAGCGCTCAAAAAAAAAAATATTAAAAAAACCCAAATATATATATATATATACACAAAACCACCAAACGCAAGGAAATCCGAAGGAGAATGCCAGCGAGCGGCTGGTGAGCCTGCACCGCCGCAGCCGCTGACCTCCTTTCTCCCGAGGGTTTCTTGTTGAACTGGTTGTGTCCCCGGCCCTCCCGTTCCCCAGGGAGCCGAGGCGGGGAGTCTCTGCCCCCAAGGTGCTTAATGGCTAGCAGGCTGACTTTGTTCAGGTAAACTTTCTGCAAACCACAACAAAAGCACCCTGTAAAGATACAAGCCTGATCAGAGAAAACTCCCCAGAGCCAGTGAATAGGGAACACAATCCCAAACAATGCAGGACAAGGAGATCTTATCAAAGAAAAACCCTTCTCAAAGCCTTAATGACAGCCACATTCTGTTTGAATTACCACTACTGAACAAATGGCGGCAGGCGCTTTCATCCCCCCAGCCCTGCACATTAACATAAACACTGGCTCCAAAGGCAGAATTTGAATGGAGACAAGGGACCGGCCACCACCGCACAAGCCCAAACTGTGGGAACACCACGGGCTGCTGTGGGAAGCGCGACGGGCTTGGGAGAGCTCCACCGCCATCGTCACCCGGGGCGTAGCTGGTGCCGGCACCGGGGCACCGGGGCTTCCCCCGAGGCGCGGCGGCCGCGGGCGTGGCCGGGACCCCCATCCCACGCCACCCGCGGAGCCCCCACCGGCCCTGCCGTCCGTCGCGTAAGGCAGGGGCTGAGGGAGGAAGGGTAGAAGTCGTTATTTACTGCCAAAGTCGCCACCCCTGGTTTTCGGCCACTATGTATAAATATATATATTAAAAAAAAAAAAAAAAAGAGGAGACAATAGTCGTGGAAGTCGTATATCAAAGTGGGGGGACACGCATCTCCCCTGGCAGATGCGGAGAGGGGGAATAAAGGAGAGGGTCTGCGGGGTATTTAACATCACAAGGGAGCGCGGCGCCGGCCACGGCCTGCCCCGTCCTGCCCGCCGCGGCCGCAGCCGGCCTCCCGCCGCCGGGGGACCGGGGGTGAAGGGGGGGGTCGGAGGGGGGGGGGGGGGGCACGCCCTCGCACCTCCCGGCCCCCCCCCCCCCCCCCCCCGGTCCGGGGCACAGCCCGGAGGGGTCGGCGGGCAGCGGCAGCCGCCGGCCGGGAGGCCCGGCCGCACGGAGAGCTCAGGAAAGGGTAGGCGCCCAGTGACTCAGAAACAAATGCGGAGCGACACCGGCCGATGATTTATATGACTATAATTGGTTATAAAAATCTTCTAAGTGGCTATAAGCGGACGAGCGGAGCAGCGGGAGGGAGAGCGAGCGTTTCCTCGGCATCCCGGGCCATTCCGCCCCCAGCTCCGCCGGAGCGCACCCCGAGGCACCCCGGCCCCCCCCCCCCCCCGCCCCTCGGGGCCCGCAGCGGCTGCTCCCCGGCGGAGGGTCGCTCCTGCCGCCCCGGGGCCACCCTCAGCAGCGCGGCCAGAACCCGGCACCCCCCGTCCCTCCGAGGACCAGCCCTGGAGCGGGTTTGTTTCGGGGTGCTTCCCCCCACCCCCCCCCCCCCCCAACTCCGTCGCCGCGTCGCCCGGCGCACGGTGACCCCAGGAGCCGGATGCGCCCCGGGATGGGGGAGCGGTCGGCGGGGGCATTTCCCACCCACCCCCCCCCCCACCCCCCCTCCCCTAAACACACCACCCCGTCCCACGCTTACCCTGGCTGCTGAGGGGGGGCTGCGCCGGCTTCCTCACCCATTCGCAGAGGCCGCGGCGCTGCCCGCCGGGGGAGAGAGGCTCGGGGGGGGGGGCGGCGGCGGCGGCGTTGCTGGGGGGCTGCATGACCCCGGCGGAGCAGTGGGGCGCGGGGCCGGCGTGGTGGTGGGCGTGCGGGGGGGGGTGGTGGTGGTGGTGGTGGGGGGGGTGGTGGTGGTGGTAGTCGGCGGGGCTGTAGGCCACGGCGGCGGCGGGGGAGCCGCCGTTGAGGCCGTGGACGGCGCCGGCGGGCGGCGGCGCCCCTTGGCCGTAGGCGCCCCAGTCGTCGCGGAGCGGGGCGGCGTAGGGCGCCGGCCAGGCCGGGCCGGGGGACTGGGCGCTGTCGAGGTTCACATGGTAGCCGCCGTAGTCCGCGTACTGCGGGGCGCCCACGAAGTTCTGCGCCGCCAGGTTGAGCCCCCCCGAGTGTCGCACCGGCCCGGGGTACATGGGCCCGTCCTTCTCCAGGAGGTAGCTCACGTACATGCTGGCGGGGCCCCGGCGGCCGCTCTCCGCATGCTGCTCGGGGCCGGGCTGCCCGGGGCGGGGAGGGGGCAGGCGGAGGGGCCGCGGCCCCGCGCTGCGCTCCGCGCTCCCGGTCCGAACCCAATGGCCGGCAGCACTTACATGATTAACGATTGTTTACAAGGCTCTATTAGTAATGGCCCAGACACTCCAAAGGCAGGTGACGTGGGGAGGCGCTGGGTATATAGCTACTACCCCTAAAAGACGATTTGCATTTAAAAAGATAAGGAGAGGGCAGCGACCTGATCACAGCTAAATATTCAAGCCTTTATTGTTTAAGAGCTTCCTCCTTCCATTGCAACCTGGTGCACTTTAACCTCCAATCACAGGTTCAAAGGATGAAATCAAGAGACTTGCAAAAGACAGAGAGGGAGATCTAAGGGCGAGGGTGGGAATATGGGAGCCGTGTATCGCGGCCGATCTGTAGGCAGCGCTTTAACCAGCTCTTCTCCGTGCTTGGGGCTGTGGGGCGGGGGGGGGAAGGGGCGGAGGAGGAGGGAGTTTTGATTAAAAATCCACAAAGCTATTTTGTCGTGGTTGTTTTAAGCAACAAACCCCACCGCGACGGCCTAACTGCTTTTTCTAACCCGCTTCCTACCCGCTCCCACTCGGCCACGGGCGATGAAGGAGAGGTAAGAGGAGAACTCCCCCCCTCCGAGGGCTCTGCCTCATCCTCCCCCACGCGTGTGTGCCTACAGAGCTTCGAGGTGGGGCGCTGCCCACTCTCCCCGTTCCAGCCTCGGCCCCGGTGCCGGGAAGGGACGAGAACCGGGGGTGCCTTCGCCTAAAACACCCGCTGGTGGTACCCAACGCTGGAGCGAGGCCGGAGCATCTCTCCGCCCGCAGGGGCCTGGCTACCCAGTCTGGGGTGGTGGGGGGGGGGAACCATCCGCCTCCTCCCTGAGCCTGCCACCCCGCAGGGCGATTCCCTCGCCGTAGCGTGGCGGAGCCCACGGGGATGTGCCCTCCTCGCACATTCGCTTTTTCCCACCCCGAAGCCTTGGAAACCCGCTGGAAATGCCGGCCCTGGAAGAGCGGCTCCTGGGCGAGCGGCAGCCGGCTCTGCCGGCCCAGCCAGCCCCCCCTTTGAAGAGGAGACCACCTCTCAGCTTCCCCCCGCCGCTTTTATACTTTAACTTTTCACCTTGAGCGGGGACAATGCCAGACAACGTTTGCATATTCGCATCTTTTCCCATGGCACAGCGAGGAAACCTTTCACCCGCCGAGAAGAAAAAAAAAAAAAAAAAAAAAAAAATTGGATGGGGACGGGAGCGTCCCCCCCGTTTTCGCAGCACGGCTGGCCGGAGCAGCGCGGCACCGGCCGTCCCCGCCGGCTCTCCCGGGTGGGTTGCGGCTGGGTCCTGTCGGGCGCTCCCACGGGCCCCGCGCTATCCCGGCCACGCGTGACCCGGGGCTTCCGTGCGGAGAACCGGGTGGATGTGTCCCAGGGGTATTTTTCCTCCCCCGTGGGTGGCTGTTCTGCAGACCGAGGAGTGTCCCGCCCTAGATCACTGAGGTGGGGCGTTTTGCAGGTGAGGGGGGAATTTCAGCTCTGCAGAGGCAGATCTCCCGACCCGCACTCCCTAAAAATCTCCCTCTCCTTCCCCCCATTTCCACCAGGCCCTTTGGTGCTGAGCCTAGGGCTGCCGCGGAGATATGCTTTAACACGAGTGGGACTAATTTAGCGACGTCTCCCAAAGTATCCGGGACGGTCCCATGTCAGTAGTCCTGAGGGTCCCTTCCAAGGCGGGAAGGACGGAGCATCGCTCCCGGGGAAGAGACCACGGGCGGCCGTCTCGGAGCCACAGTGGGTACCCCGACTGCGAGGAACGGGGTTACCCCCCCCTGCACACAGCCGATAATGCAGTGCCTGCGCCCACACCGTCACTTGTCGTTCGCAGACTGTCGCTGACGGCCGCGGTTGCGACCCTACGAAAACAGCAGCGCAACAGCAGGGATGAGGGAACGCCTGCCAGCCGCCTTCTCCAGAGGGGATTTCTCTCTCTGCTGCCCACTCCCACTCTCACGCCTTACCCCGGCCCCGCCAGTGGGGTAACGGGGAGAGGGAGCACGGCTTGCGGCCCCCAGCGCTCTCTGAGCGGGAGACTGAAATGTAATTCTGGAAAAGTAACGCTGAGTCCCTTCAGTGTAATCGCCTCTCCCGATAAGCACCGCCAAAGCCGATCTATGCGGATGTGAATTTGATGATGCCATAAACGGAGGAAGGGGTCATTAAAATGACAAAACTCTGAACATACCGTATTAAAACGCACCAAAACCCTGAGAAACCCCGAACCAGCCCGGTTCGGTGTCTAAGGCTCCATCCACGAGTCCCCGAGGCTCCATCCACGAGCAGGCGGGTGGCAGAGCTTTGGGGTGAGACCCGACACCAACCCGAGCTGGCGGAGATCCCCGGGGCTCCGGCGGAGGAGCAGGACAAGGCTCCGAGGCAGCACCGAGCCCGCCTGGCCGCGCAGCCAGCGCACCGCTCCGCTCTCCCCCGGCCCTGCTCCGCCTTTGACCCCAGGTGCCCCCCAAACAACACGGGGAGGACTGGGGAGACCGGGCTCTGCCTGCTGTGCCACCCTCCGGGGCAGGTGGCGAGTTGGGGACGAGGCCCGTGGTCCCCCGTGGAGGGATTCTCCGGAGCATCCCCCGCCGCCGCAGAGCTGCCCCCCCCGCTCCCGGCCCCGCCGCAGCGACCTCCTCGGCGGCTGGGGGGGGGTGGGGGTGGGGGGGGGAACGCTCTGCCGCTGGGACCCTCTTTTCTTAAAATAAGAGGGATCCCGAGCCGCGCACACCCCGAGCCTGCCTGTCTGCGGGCTGGCCGGGCTTCCTTTCCTTGCGACTGGGGGCAGGATTTGTCCTCCTCTCCCTCTCCCCAGAGATCGGGGGGGTTGGGGAGGGGGTGTATCTCTCTCAGCTGAGGTGCCCCCCTTTTCTCCCTGCGGTCCTGGAAGAGGCGATTGAGGCGGGAGGTTTCCCGGGCCGGCCATGGCAGCTGCCCGCTCCCTCCCTGCCTCCTCCTCGGGCCCCTCCGCTGGCTCTGGCCCAGAGCCGCAGGCCCAGGAGAGGAGAGGGGACCCCAGGACCGGACCCCAAGATCGAAGCGCGGGCGACTCCCTGATCTCTTCCTTTTTTCTTAATTCGTTTTTTTCTTATTTCGTTAGATCCGGCTTCGGGAAATGTGACCCAACGCCTCTCAAGCTGACAAGTGCCTGATCATATTTACAAGGAATTATGACTTTTTTTTTTTTTTTTTTTTTTTGTGTGTGTGTGTGTTTGGGTTTTTTTTGCTTGCTTGTGGCTTGTTTTGTTTTGTTTTGTTTTGTTCCCCCCGTCCTCCGTGCTGATCCCCTGTATTTCCACCGTTTTACCCAGGTGCGCTCCGGCAGACGCAGGGCTCCTCGCCTTCCTCCTCCAGCCACAGCCTTACTTCTTGAGCTGAAATAACTATTTCCGAGGGGGGGGTCTGCCTGCCCCGTGGGGACTCAGGTCAGCGGCACGATTGCGTGAGAAACTCCGGGGCCAAGAAGCCGCTGCCGATCCCCCGGTCCCCGGGGAGGCGGCGGCCGGTGCCCGGTGCCCGGCTCTGGAGCCCACACTTCGTTTCGGAGCTCATCGTCGCCCCGGAACCCGGGGCTGGGGGGGACTGAGGATTAACGGGGCGGGCAGCACAGCCCGGGGACCCCCGTCCCGGGCCAGAGACCTCCCCGTAAGCCCCGGGAAGGACCGAGCGTGCCGGGCAGCCCCCGCCATCCCTCCTCCACCGATCGCTCCCGCTTGCCGGGAGCCTTGCCGGGGTGCGGATTCAAGTTCTTCGTTATTTCTATTCGTTTTCGGGTTTAAAGAATTAGTTTTTTCTGTCGCTTAGGAGAAGCTCGGGGTGGGGTGGTGGGGATCCTCCCCTCTTTCCCCACCTTAACGACACGGAACCGGGAGCTTTGTTTGCTAGGTTAAAAAGAAAAAAAAAAAAAAAAAAAAAAAAAGCCTGCTTGAGAGCCCTTTGGTGGCCGAGGAAAGAGAAGGGAAGGAGGAATCGTGTGTTAGTTAGTCCGACCTGTGGAATTTATGACTCCCCCTAAGCACTGACATGATAAGGACTCAGAAAACATCTTGGATCTTTTCAAGCCGGCAGCCCCCGAGGCTTTGATGTAGATTACGTTGCAGAATAACCCAATACTTTTATCGTGGGGTTGATACTCGGCTTGTTTAAGCACATGCCTCTAGGAGAGGGTTAGATGCTAAACTCTCGCTCCCAAGCAGATTCGCGTTGCTGGGAAGGAAGCAGAGACGGGGAGGGATGGCCAGGTAGGGGTGGCAAGGGGGGGGTGGCACCTTGTGCCAGGTTGGGGCACCAGCACCCTGAGAGCCCCGGCCCTGCCACCCCGCACTGGCTTTGCCTCTTTGCACAGGTGCTGTCGGGCCTGAGCTCGTACCGGCCCAGCTCCCCTCCAGGGAACAGGAGCGTAAGGAGAGAAGTGGAAAATAAACAAAAAACAACCAACAAATTATGCACCAGAGGCTTCGTGCAGCTACAAGCCGGTGAGGGTGTCCCCAGCTGCTCGGGTCCAGTGGCCAGATCCTCCCGGAGAGACAGTCGGTGTGTCTGGAGGGGACAGACACACACCAAAGGCTGATCCCTGTCGCGCTCCCCTGACTCTGTTTACACGGGCTGAGTGTTGCTTTGCTCCTTTGGAAGTCACTGCTGCACTGTGACCAGAGCCCCTCCGGGACACATCTGCTGGCTGGTGAAATCCAGCCTTGGCTGGATTTATAAATTTTTAATAATAATAACAATAAACAACAACAACAACTATTGTTACTGTTATTGTTATTATTATTGATTACTATTGTTATTACTATTGTTATTACTATTGTTATTACTATTACTATTACTACTACTACTACTACTATTATTATTATTATTATTATTATTATTATTATTATTATTATCATTA